TTAAAAAAAAAAAAAAATCCACATAAAGGGGTAGATGTGAACCTTCCCCTACCCTAAACTGATAACTGGAGACTTGGTGGACATTAAAAGCTTAAAATGAATTTGTTTTTGTTTTGCTGCATCTAATCTCAGTAAACATCCTCAGTTTGACGGTCTACAGTAATATTTTAAAGCACTCATTCTGGCGTATCTCTTTGAGAGGTGACTGTGACGTGCACGCATGCTGTTGCAGCATGATTAAATCTTTAAGTAAAGTAGCACTGACTGGAGGGATAAGTAGGGCCAGTATGTGAGGGCTAACAGCTGGGTGGAGAGTGGCTTTTAATCCTGCTGGGTTTAACATCATGAGTGAACAACAACAATCTTCCTCCAGCCACTGAATCATCTTTTCATTTCCAAAGATTTACAGGCAGAAATTAAAAAATGGAGGTCAGAGGTCAATAAAAACATGCTGATGCTTGTGCTGCTTATAAAAACACAGTGAAAAGATAAAGTTGTATTAATTAAATTTGCATTTAAAATAAAGACGGTATGCACAGTATTACTTCATTAAAACAACAAAGTTAGAACTCTGCCAGGATGAAAGTGCGCGAAAGTGTAGACAGTTTTTCTTTTTTAGCACAAATTAGTCAATAAGTATCATTTAGGGGTGAAAGTTAAGAAATTCTTCATTGTCAACGGGAAACATGAGAGCTAGTTAGGTAACGTGAGCTAATGTTGAGCTTGTTTTCTTTAGTGTCAGTGACCTTAGTGATCTAGAGCAGTAGTGATAAACACACACTTTATGGAATGATTTAATCATAACTTATTTCCAACGTGAGTTCAGATCACCTAATGTGGACAGCCGAAAACTAAAGGAGAGAATAACTATAATATAAATGGTTTAAGATTTTCTTTCAAAAAAATGACCAGTTGCATTCCCATGTGTGCATTTAAAAAGTTTTTGAGTACAGTGATGTGGTCAGTGTGATGAAGGACAAAATCCACAGTCCGTTTTGTGGAAACAATGCATTCTTAGGCTCACGTGAGGCTTTAACACGTGCATTTAGTGAAGGGAAAGGGGTCATTTTCAGAGTTACAGTCTTTTTAGCAGAAAATACAGTCTACTTTTTAGTTGACAGGGAAACAGGAAATGTTGCACTGAAATAACTGTATATTATGACGGGACAAATTTGTCTTAGCAGTAAAGCCTCATATTAGCTATAATTGAATGTTACATTTTTACACAAAGAGAGGATGAGGGAACTTTATCATTCGTAAGAAGCAGACGCAAATAGTTTTCTCCCAAAAAAGAAAAACAGGTCTGCTGATACTGTTGAAGAGATTTATACCTTCTGAGCTTCTCTGCCATCTATCATTGGTCGTTTCAGCCTAAAGCTATTGGCCTTCAAATACCGATATTGGTCAAAGCCTGCCCTGATAAACCTAAAGCTCCTCCTAACCTTCTGCCATGCCCTTATCATCCAGAAAAGCCACACCAGTCAAAACCTTTGATCTGCCTGGCTCACTTGCTATCAGGAAACAGACGGCTATGTACTCCTGTATTGCTCCCTTCCTGATTTCTTAGTTTTTTGCGTGTTTGTCACACTTCATATAAAAAATAAAATACAACATTTTTTGGTAATCTGAAAACATTTAAGTGTGACAAATTTGCAAGAACCCTAAAGTACACTGCATGTTTGTTGTGTGCGTCTGTGTGCATGTGTGGTTGAGTGTGCATGTGCATCCTGAGGCCTGGCAGATCTCAGCTCTGCTGTAGGCCAGTGACAGGTGCTAATGCTGAGGCGAGAGGTTACACGAGCCTCCGTTCTCCCTGCTCTGATAACACTGAGCAAAAGCATACAATCAGACACACACACACGGCGGCTTAGCTTCCTGATAACTTCACTTCAGCAGCGGCTTGTGTGTTTATGCGTGTTGCACCGATGGATCGTTTTGCACAGATTCTCCTGAAGCTCCCCCGAGCCTTACTTTCAAACCTTTGTAAAAGCCTGTGTTTTGCAATAGAGGTGAGATGTTATTATGCTTTGCACATTGCTGGATTTGATGCTGGATAACTGGGTTGTGAGTGTGTCTTTGTAAAGGCTGAATTGAATTTTGTAGTTGTAAAGAGCTTAGTGTTGCAGAGCAAAGTGTGCCTCATTGCTTATAAAGATACAACTCACTAAAATCACCAGCTGACCATGGGATTGCCAAACGGTTACGCTTTCATTAGATCATTTTTCCTAAGATGTTCACACAAGTCTGGTGGCTTTATGGGGTCAATGATGATAACGTGATATGAATTTTAATCTTTGGATGCACTTCTTTCAATTGAGTGTAACAAAGTGTGGCATTAGCAGGTAAACAAACAATTGATTGAATTTATTTACCTTCTCCAGAAGCTGCTTGTGTTAACATATCGGTCCTCGTTTTCATATTTACCAGTGATCGTCTATCTATATCCATCTGTTTCTTCTGTACTTGAAGCCTGGACACACGGATTGGATGTTAATCTTTCCAAGAAAACAAAGATCTCTTCTGTCCTGGTCTTCACTTTTTCCTTTGATCCCATCCTGTCTGTGTCTCATTGGGGTTTTCCTGATACCCACAAGACCACTAAGAAACCTCCCTGTATGTGTCCACTTGTCTAAATCAGAGTGTGTAGAAGAAGTGTGAAGCAGCATTCATCTTTTTAGATTTGTTCAGCAAATTTATTAACCCAAAGGATTTCTTTGTGTTAACTTTGAACAGACAAAGGTCAGGGGTATTTCAAGTCATGAAGCCTTTAGTGTCATGAGTTCTCTAAATTTCACGCAGATTTCTCCAAGTAGTCATTAAAGTTTCACTTAATTTACTGAACTTATTTTATTAATCCTCTGAGGCGAATGTAATTATCTAGTGCTGAACTAGAAGAAGAATTTACAGCATGATTGTACAAAGTTCCCTGTGTTTCTTGTGTGGGGTGTTTTGAATTTTTTTTAACTCAGTAACATTTTAGAAGTTTTTTTTGTCAAAAACAAAAAGATGTGCAATAACTCCTTTAAAAAATGAGATACCAATATTTATTTATACTGTAACAGTTGCTGGAATCAGGGATTGTGTAAAATGGCAGGATCTGTGTAAGCACTGATCATATGGTGTGTGTGTGTGTGTGTGTGTGTGTGTGTGTGTGTGTGTGTGTGTGTGTGTGTGTGTGTGTGTGTTACCAGTTCAACATTTGGACAGACGTTGGGTGGATGAACTGTTTTGCACTAAAGTTTGTAGAAGCTGTGATGAAGCTTGACAAAGCGATTTGTTGGAGTCTCCAAATGGCCTCAACAGATACTAAGCTCAGACCAAGTCTAACCTGCCACCAATACATTTCTTATGTATGTGACTGATTCAAAGCTCAGCAGTTAGGAAGTTCACTTTCTACCTGTTAAAATAAATATCAGTCTCGTTCAGTTTTTTAGGTAATTTTGGTCCTCTGTAGCTCGAAAGGACAGTTGAAAAACTGCAAAACTGAATAGATCTTCATGTCTCTTAAATCCTGTTTGAGGGGCAGTACAGCTGGAGTTCATGTTGTCATTTATAGCCATCTCTACTCATTTCTGTATCTTTGTAGGGTAGTCTTAAATTATTTTCCCACCTCATTGTGGCTTTACAAAATCCTTAGTTCAGCTTTAAAAAAAAAACCAAATACAGGATTTATCCATAGAGAACATTTTCTGTTCTGAGGTGCAAACATGCTTTTTGATTCTGTAAATCTCTATGAGATTGCCTCACTTTTGGAGGGAGCCCCAAGTGGCCATTAGAGGAACTGCAGTGACACTTTTACGTGAGCTTGATTTTTCAGCCCTTGAAGTTGCTGCGTTTCTGGTCTTTATGCTGAGTATCCAAGTTCATCCTCTAGATGCACTTTTTGTTTAATCCCTGAATGTTTCACTACTCGAATGTTCATTTCACCACTCGCACACGATTTTGAACCAGCAAACAGTCACAATGATAATATGAAGCTAGTTAGACTCGGTGATTTTTTCGCACTCCTGTCTGTAACATATTTCTGGGCATCAAGAACGAGAGAGATGCAGATATGCAGCACTGATGATGATGATAAGCTTGACTTTGAAGCCAGGAGGTCATGTGTTTGTTTTGTTCGTTAGCGTGATGAGTCGCCGGAGCACCTTACCAACACCACTGCTAAATCTTCCCTTATCACCTCTGCTTGCAGGCATAATGACCTAATCAAATGAACACACTAATAGAATAAAACAGTTGTTTGACTGCCTGCATGCCTGCTTGCTTGGCTGCCTGCGTTGTCACACACACACACACACACACACACACACAGAGCAAGTTGCAGACTCTCTGGCTCCAAACTGCAAGATCTCTCTGATTGCAGAAAATACAACAGACAGAAAGGAGAAAGATTAAGATGCAGCGCCGGCCTGTGTGGATTTGGTTTGACAGGCATGAAGATTGTGTTGTACTTACAAGTTTCTGTGTGTGTGACTCAAAAGCAGCTGATCTACAGGGTTAACACAGATTCATTTACGTTGGCTGTAGGACGGATATGTGAGTGATATATCTGAAAATGGCAACATGTTTTAATATTTTCATTTGCAGTAGAGCTGCAGTATTTTCACGATTAGATTTTGTTTTTAAAATGTATATATTAAAGGAGAAAAGATAATATAATACACAGATTTGACACAACGAAGCATTCGTACATAATTATACTGAAAGAACAAAGGTAGACTGTGCTTTAAATTAGCTTGTATGTTTCCCTAATCCCAAATATTGTGCATCTGCTGATGCAAGTCTGATTCAATGTTTCTTTTTATGACATCTTATTACATTACAGAAATAAATACAGCTTTAAAATGTCACGATGGGGCCGGATCCCCATTGTGCTTATCAGCTCAGGACATCTCCAAATTACATTACACAACTGGCACAGCTGTTATTGTTCTATCTTCTAATCTATTTGGTAATCAAGCGAATCTTAACTCCGCGTTTGTCTGCGCGTTTGTTTGCAGGGCCATTTGATGGACGTGGCGTAACCCTGCTGGAGGTATGCGGGAGCTGGCCAGAGAGCTTTGGCGTGCCACGGCACAATGTTGGCTCAGCAGATGCGAGCGACGAAGGCCTGCGAGAGAGACTGGCTGACGCCATGTCCGAGTCCCCCTCTAGGGATATCGTAGGCTCTGCCACAGGTAAGCGAAGGATGAACAACACACAAAAACACAGCTGCACACACAGGATCGTGTATCAGCATTAATTCGTTTTCTGTTTTCTGTTTAATTGTCACCTTAGGTTAAATGTTGCCACAAGAACAATGTGGTACTGCTGTCCATTTAACATAAACGGGAATTATTTATATTGTTTGAAAATAAAAAGGTAAAAATCAGAATAAAAGCAGGATTATGACATTTAGTGTGCCTACCAGTCAGAACAGCTGAGGAAGTGATGCTTAAATAGCTGGAAGCAGTTATCCTCATCATGTCTGACTAACACTAAGAAAAGTTCACAGTGTTTTAAGTGTGTCCTAAAACACTAAGATCCCATCTCAAATAGTCATTTTCCTGTTTCTGTAGGTTTTTTAGTGTTATTTTGTATCTTGTTAGCAGAATGTAAAATAGACTTTCTTAGAATATTTCTAAAAATCAGCAGTCTGAGTTTAAAACAGTCAAAATCCAGTAAACACACTGTGATGAGCAGGCAGAAATTGACATATTTCTTATCACTGAAACACATCGTTGTGAGTTACTGAGATTCTTTATGATTCTGAGCATTGCAATTTTACGTGATTTTGTAGAAATCCATATTTGCATGCACAAAAAAATGATCATCTGGGTGTTTTCCTTTCTTTTGTTTGCTCATAGGTATTTACCTCATTAGAGATGTTTTCAGTGCAGCTAAGTGTTTGTTATGTAGCCTGACTTCCAGCATACAGTGCTTCTCAGGTCAAGGTCCAGAAATTGATTACCTCAAAGCTTGTAGGATGTTCTGCTCGTCTGAATGTGTGTACGAGGTTAGGGCATATCAGCACGCGACCAGCTTTAGTTTGTGGCTTCCTGTGTGTGTGTGTGTGTGTGTGCGCAGCAGACATGCTGTTGGCCCTGACAGTCCAAATGGTTAACTCATTTAGGAAGCGACAGCGTGCTCAACCCCCCACCACCACCACCCTTTAAGTGAACAAGAGCTCCTTTGACTTAAATGTGTGTGGGGGGGAGGGGGTGCAGAGGGTTTTGGGGTAAGGGAGTGCGATGGTCACAAGGCCCTAATGGATTTAGCATCGACTATCAACCCCCAGCCCACCCCACCTCTCCCAAACATCCCTGGCCATATCCAACCAAGTCCACCCCCGTCCTCCCACTCCGTTCAGACTTAACCTCATTTGTAGCATCTCTCTCTCTCTCTCTCTCTCTCTCTCTCTTCTCATCACTCTTTTTTACTGACCCCACCTCCACTACCACCACTCTCCCCCATCTCCCTCTCTGAGTCTCTTCATTAGATTAGATGCCGGAGACTCGTGGACACTACTAGTCAGTCGCTTCGTGTTCCCCCTGGTATTCTCTCCCGACCACCTCTGTTCCCCTCCACTCCCCCTAATGCAACACAAAATTCATTACTGATCACATTACATCAAAATACGCCCGCGACGTATACACACACTCTCCCTTTCCTGCGCCTTCGGCCACGATGAAGACATCATCCACAGGGAATGCGATGGACTTGCTGGTTCCTCCATCCATCCATTCATAGAGACGGAGAGGCTTCAGACTCTGTAGGCTAATCTAATAGCGCAGCACTTCTACATTGTAACATATGGGAAATGTTCTTGTTTGTACTATAAGGAGGAGAGAGCCCGGGATGGCCACAAGTTGTGGTTTCCCAGGGAAGAAAAAGGAACCTGGCTCTGACGATGCCATCCATCTTGGTTAGTGTGCAGTGTGTTTGATAACCTGTTTATTGAACAAGTGGTCGGTATTGACACAAGCTATACATGAAAAGCTTAAAGGAACAGTTCACCATGGTTCCAAAAGCAACATTCACTATTTTCTGACTTTTTTCATCTATCTTTGATTTTAACAAGCAGAGGTTTAGAATCATTTTTAATATTTTTTCTATTATTCTTAAAGATTTTTTTAATGAGCACTTTTTATTGAAACTCTTGTACTGAAAAAGATATATTTGTTCCTTTGAAATCTGCCCTGTCACTGACTCTGAAAGCTCATTATGACCTTTTCTATGCCACGCCCACACTGTCGTCACAGGCATTTATATACCAATGTGAAAAGCAACCAGAATTGTAACTAGAATGTAAATTCTTTTAATTGTTTCCATTGTTTAAAGTAGCTCATGAATATTGTCTAATGTTCTTTTGTTGGGAAAGTTCACAATAATCAGACAAGAAGGTGAATTTAGTTTTATTTTGCCTGTGCAGACTGTAGAAGTCAGATTCCATATCAGCTGCATGAATATTATTCCCGAGTATAATTTAAAACAAAACAAACAGCAGGTATACACACCTATATGTGTGCCTGGCACCAGAACTTCTCAATGATCATATATTAATTCGAGACGAGCTCACTATAGAGACCACCAGGTCTGCCTTTCTTCATTCTTTGTGATATTGTTTCAAGAAATGTTAAAAAGCGCTCTTAGCCCTGATTTAGAAGATCTGAGTCCTGTGCCTGTCCATGTCGAGTGTGTGTCTATAGTGTGTGTGTGTGTGTGTGGGGGGGTGCACGTGCATGTGTGTCAGTCTGAGGGTTAGATGAGCAGCAGCAGATGGTATCTTGCACAGAGAATCCATTTACTTGGGACCTGTGGCCCCAGTGCTTAGACACCGAGTGGCTAACATAGACCTTGAACATGAGTGCAAACACACTCTCACCTCACCTGCACGTGTGGCACATGTTTCTGCACAATTGCTGAGTGAAATTTTTACGAACTTTTCTATCCTGTATGCACAGCCAGTCAACACATTATGTGTTATTATTTATGCTTCCCACTGATATTTATTACAGTTTTGTTCCCGTCTTTGAAAACTGTTTGCTCCCTGATAATCTACTGAAGTATATTTGGATCGGTGTACGGCCACAAACGATGGTGTTTCCTTTCTGCATGTCTCCTCACACACACACACACACACACACACACACACACACACACACACACACACACACACACACACACACACACACACACTCAGAGGTCTCAGGGCTGGAATGCTTGCTGATGTAACAAATCACCATCTCTCTGACATTCTTCTCGAGAACACACACACACAAACACACACATACACTTTCGCAGATTCACAGGGAAAACAAAGCCTCCAGTCAGTGTAATAGGGCTCTCACGCTAATGCCGAGACCCAGCGTCGCCAGCTCAGAGGGCAGGTGACACTCACACAGAGAGATGGACGGATGGACAGAGGGAGAGAGAGAAGAGAAGATGAAGAAGAGGAGGGGAGAGAGTCACTGACGACTAAAACACACTGGGACTGAAATTAGATTTGGCTCCAATGATATAATGTTGCTAATTAGATTTGTCTTATTGGTGCCTGCCCAACATAAATTCCATTGAAGCCATATGGACAGTGGACTACTGCTAAACACAACCTGGTGTATCTCAGCTGAGAGCAGGAACAATGGCACATGTTGTGTTCATTTGCTCACATCATGTTATTATGCGGTACACAATATTTTTAAGTGGTGGAGTATTTTCATCTCGTCTCCATCGTTGGTGTCCAGTGCTCGTAGCTGTTGTGTCACTTGCTGTGCATCAGAGTTTTCCAAGGAAAGAGATCCCAGTTCCATGTTTACAGCAGGAGATCAAAACAGTCCCATAATGAGTTGAATCAGTGAGGTGTCATGGTAAACAGCCTCTGACTAGAGCTAAATAAAGGTTAGCATTTCAAATTTGGAGCTGTGACTTGCTTCTGGGCCATTGTTTTATTACTTCGTTTAATATGGGGCCGTAAAACGTACATAAAACAACATGAACTGCTGTGATTACATTTTTGCTTTCATCGTGTCTGTGGTGGGTGGGTATTTCAGGCTCAGTACTAGCAGTTTTGATAAGAACTAAATAGTTCAACTACAGAATGCTGTATGTAGAAATAAAAGCCACGTGTACATATAGTGCTCTGTCTCTGCTCTGTTTGGGCAAATCGACAGAATGTTGCCAATACATGCAACATATTTTGAATCAATGAAGGTTAATAGTTTTATTATATTGATTCCCAATCCAGGGGCAGCAATGATTACTTGATCAAACACTTGCAATAACTGCTAACAGGCTTTAAAGAAAGTATATTATTCTGAAGAATGCTCTGATTCTGAAACTCAGCCTGAACTGATGCTCTTTACAATTCAATTGAATTGAAACATTGTACTTCAACAAACCACATCAATTTTCAAACTTTATCACCATCTACATACTTACAAGACTTCATGACAGCCTGTTTACAGTCACTTCATAAAAGTACATTCAGTTTTAGCATCATTTTCTGTCAATTAAAATTCATATAATGCTTGATGCTTTGTTTATCTGATACCTGATCTGATGTCAAGACGTTCTCTGAGTGATGAGCACAAGATAGAGCACTAAGTCTTTATGACTCACATAATCATCATAGCACAGAGCGGTGTAACCAATAGCCAAATATCATTGAACATTATTTGTTTTTCATGTTACTTTGCTACAGACTGTGTGTTGAGTTCACCCTGTTTGATTGATGAGGGAAGGGTCCGGGGGACCACCCACACCCTGCAGGTCAAATGTAACCCTGTTTGTTGGAGCCCAGCTCAAAGAAACTGGGAGTAACAATAATAATAATAATAATAATAATAATGATAATAATAATGATAATAATAGCAAAAGTGTCTGAACAGCCCAGAACCCAGCTGGCTCTTTCAAAGCCCGACTCAACACAAATATTTAGGGGAGCCTTATCAACACAAAAAGGCTGAGTGCACTTATGTGTGTGTGTGTGTGTGTGTGTGTGTGTGTGTGTGTGTGTGTGTGTGTGTGTGTGTGTGTGTGTTACTGTGTAAATGGTTGGGTGTTAGTGTATGCATGAATTTTAACTACCCTTTCCACATGTTCATTTTTAAGTGGTATGTGCGAATGTACTCTTGTGTGTGTGTATGTGTATACTAAATGTATATACAAGTAGGTTAGTGTGTGCCTTTACTTTTTTTAT